AGAGGCCAGCCTCGGGCATGGCACATATGACAGACAGAGGCCAGCCTCGGGCATGGCACATATGACAGACAGAGGCCAGCCTCGGGCATGGCACATATGACAGACAGAGGCCAGCCTCGGGCATGGCACATATGACAGACAGAGGCTAGCCTCCAGAACATGGCACATATCCATATGCACAAGAGAAAAAAGTATGAGTTTGCTTCAAGACCTGGGAGCTTGCCAGCCTGTTCCATGTCTCCACTGGGTGCTGGGGCTGACATGAGGTGAATTCTTGGTCTCTAGTGATGACAGGAAAGAGCAGGTGGTTTATTTGAGGCCAAACCACTTGCCTCTCGCCCAGGGTCCAGTTTACCAAACTGAGGTTCTCACCCAAGGAGGACTGGTCCACACAGGCCTGGGCTTTCCCCGAGTTTCTGTCCTGGGAGGCCGGTAGTAGACAGTGCTCTGAGAGCCCCACTCTGCACCTTATTGGATGCCAGCCTCTGTTAGAAAGTCGGGGGGAAGGGGAACCCACTGTTTATCTTGTAGAGGCCACTGCTCAGCACTCATTCAGCACCGGACCCCAAGAGCTTTCAGCGTGTCAAGTGCTAGGAGGAACGTTTGGCCTACTCAGTTCCAGGGGTCTTGCTGTCCTCTTTTGCTTGTGCTAGAGAGAGAGTTCCACAAAGCACATGGCTGAGGAGCGCATCAACAGAGGAGGAGGAGGAGGAGGAGGAGGAGGAGGAGGAGGAGGAGGAGGAGCATTACCCAGGAGGTCCATGTCAGGGAGGGCAGCATTTGAGTAAAGCGGGGGACAGTGGTGGGAGTCTGCCACGGAGAAGACGGAGCATGAATGAGCAGAATGGCAGGATGAAGGAGAGGCAAAGAAACCTCTGGAATGTGCAGCACGCTGGGACGACACCTGGGCCTCAGCAAGGACCAGGACTGCAAATGGCAGGAGCTGGCTGTTGACAGATGTGATAGGGCTGAGCCTGCTGTCCTGGGCCTGCAGTCCCAGCCACCCCACGTTCTAAGACAGAAAAAAGAAAGAAACTACAAGAGGCAAAAACGGGGGTGGGGGGTGGTCAAAAGTTCACGCCTAATCTGGAATACAGAGTGACTTCAAGGCCAGCCCGTGCAACTTAATGAGACCATGTCCCAAAAATAAAGAGTGAGGGAGCTGGACGATGGCTCAGCAGTTAAGAGCACGGACTACTCTTAAGAGGACCCAGGCTAGGTTCCCTGCACCCACATGACAGCTCACAATTGTCTGTAACTCCAGTTCCAGCAGAGCCAAACCCTCTTCTGACCTCCACAGGCACCGGGCACACATGTGATACAAATATATACATGCAGGCAACACTCATAAAATAAAACAAAATTCAAGTTTGTTTGTTTTTTTGTTTTTAAAGAAGGTGCAGCTCATTGGTAACTCAGTTTAACTTATCCACCCTGATAAAGATACTTGGTGAGTTTCTGGGTTTGGGCCATTATAAATATTCAGGCTGTGAACATGGAACATGTATGTTCAAACATATACATTGCTGCATGGAAATCAGTTTCCGTTTGTATGGGCTCAGTGCCCAGTACAGTCGCTTACCGTGTGGTAAGTCCGTTTTACATGCCCGCCGGCAGCATGTGCGTGATCCAGTTTCTCCATGGTCTCATGCCATGTGGCATCGTCACCATCTCTCATTTCAGGCACTCTGATGGGTGCATCTTGCTGTCTCGTTGTCGTTTTAGTTGCATCGCTCTGAGGGCCAGCAGTGCCGAGCATCTTGTGTGCTGACCTGCCAGCTATGGACCCTCTCCAGTGAAGTGTCTGGGAGCCTTTGCCCAGTTCTAGCTCACTCTGTGCTTTGCAGTGTTGGAGAGCCCTTTGTATGATCAGCCTTGAGCTTTTCTTTTCATCTTCTTTATAGGATCTTTCCTTAAAAGAACTTTTTCTATGTATAAACTATCATCTTTTTCCTAATATAAATCAGATGTTTTACTGTTGGGCATTTTAAGTCCTTGATTCCACTACCCCACTCCTCTTCAGAGTGGAGATTGAGCCAAGACCTCTCTAGTGCAACACAAGTGCTCTGCCACTGAGCCACACCCCAGGCCCTCACTGGGGGATTCTAGGCAGGGGCTCTACCACTGAGTCACACCCCAGCCCCTCACTGGGGGATTCTAGGCAGGTGCTCTACCACTGAACCACACCCCAGCCCCTCACTGGGGGATTCTAGGCAGTGGCTCTACCACTGAGCCACACCCCTAGACCCTCACTGGGGGATTCTAGGCAGGGGCTCTACCACTGAGCCACACCCCAGCCCCTCACTGGGGGATTCTAGGCAGGGGCTCTACCACTGAGCCACACCCCAGCCCCTCACTGGGGGATTCTAGGCAGGTGTTCTACCACTGAGCCACACCCCAGCCCCTCACTGGGGGATTCTAGGCAGGTGTTCTACCACTGAACCACACCCCAGCCCCTCACTGGGGGATTCTAGGCAGGGGCTCTACCACTGTGTCACACCCCTAGACCCTCACTGGGGGATTCTAGGCAGGGGCTCTACCACTGAGCCACACTCCCAGCCCCTCACTGGGGGATTCTAGGCAGGGGCTCTACCCTGAGCCACACCCCAGCCCCTCACTGGGGGATTCTAGGCAGGGGCTCCACCACTGAGCCACACCCTCAGGCCCTCACTGGGGGATTCTAGGCAGGTGCTCTACCACTGAGCTGCATCTGAAGGCCTTTCTCTTTTTTTCTTTCTTCCTTCTTTCTTCCTTCCTTCCTTTCTTCCTTCTTTTGACACAGTTTCATTAAGTTGCCCAGCTGTATCCCAGACAGGGCTTGACATTGAGATCCTCCTGCCTCATCCTCAAAATAAAAACCTGTGCAAGTGTCGCCACACCCAGTATCCATGATTATTTTGGCTTCTGTTTCGGTGAGAGGTTTCGGTCAAGTTTTCATTTTTGCCAAGAACATCTGATTGCTCCAGCAGTTTATTGGAAAGCCAGCCTTTCTCCTACATTGCTTTTGCTACTTAAAGCTAAAAATGAATAAGAGGAACAAAGTGGATACATTCGTATGCATCTTTTTCTGAGTTCTCTGGTAGCGCTCATCAGTCTTACGGGATCTCAGGGAGTCCTCCCAGAAGCCTCATGAGGTAGATTGCGTATCCCCATT